TGAGAGTCTCCGACTGCTGGAATTTGATGTCGTTTGTGCCAGCTTGGACGACGACTGCGGTGGCGGAGTTGTGAATCTGCTGTATCGCTGGGTGCAATGTCCTTAACGCGGGAACCAGAGGAGGAGAAGTATAAATGACCACAAAATGAAAAATACGTAGTACAAGTACGTCAAACTGAACTTAACCTAACGCTAGGTATCAAAATGACAGGACACCCTTTCATACAGTAGGTGGCGGTATTCACCATTCACGTTGGTCTGTAACCGTCATTAAAAGTAGAGAAGAAGAAAAGGAAGGCGTTTACTTCCGTGTTAATTTTATGAATGACTCCAACTTCCCTGTGTAGCTTTATAACTAGCGTTAGCAGCAGCTGCGGCTCACTGGAGTGACTTACTGACGGCTACTGCTCCCAACAACCTAGTCCAAATGGATTACACTGCAACTCAAAGCGGGTTCAGACAGCGTAAGTTACGTACGTGATTTAATCGATCAAATGTAGTCTTTAAAGCCGTCGGCTGCATGTGCACGTTGTGTACTTACGTGCTAGCTTTCTGGGACTGAAGTGAAGTCGCTGCTTTCAGCCGGTCGAGGCTAACAACGCAATGTTCAAACAGCGTGTGCTACACAAACATTACAGCGTTAAATGTTAGACAATGTGTGAGACAGCATTATCTTAATTCATCTAAATCTAAACCCACAACCTATTAACAGCGCTAACAGGCTAGCTCATCTACCTAACGTTACACAGGCTAGGCGAGCTAACGCTAGTCCCCCGTACATAACTGGGTATTTAAAATATATAAGTTATATATATGTGTGTGTGTCCCAACGTGAAAGTACCTGTGCAATGACTGCGGTATATGTGTGTGTTCACAGGCTGTTAAAGCCGAAATGTGGAGCTAAATTAGGCTAGTGTACGCGTGTTTTTCCTTTTATGTGTAATTATATAACGTTAACGCGTTGACGGTATTAACGTATGCTAGCAAATGTATCTTCAATCCGAGCTCACTTCTGCAAGAGACGGGTTTTGGTTCGACAGACACGTTATTGACTTCATGTGTGGTGAGTTTAAGGGTTAGTAATGAGGCTACATAGCCAATAAAAGTGATTTAATGTTAATACGCATTAATGCACGGGTATCTAAGCAGACATTGGTGCATCACCAACAGGTAAACAAGCCTCCGCAATGCACACTCTTCAGAGGATCCAGCATACCTGAATAATCGTTTATCGCTTTCCACAGCCAAGACAACTGGTAGCCAAAGCACACTGTGTTGTTTTCTAAGATAGATCTCAAGGCTCCTGTTCACACACACACACACACACACACAGGTCTTCAGTATCTGTAGTACTCTTAAAGATGTGCAGGTGTGTCTTTGTGGGCTCGGCATACTGTAGGTTTTATGTCATATTCATCATACTTTCCTCTCCGGCAGGGAACAAAGGTCCACAATGAACCGTGTTGTGGCTCTTTTAGGATGATGTAATCTGCTCTGGTGATGAGTGTGTGTGATAATGTACTCCCCTAGGGAAATGGAGCGAAGAGCTCTTTCTCCTGCACAGAGCGTTCCACTGGGATTGTGTGCGCAGATGCACACGGGCTGTCATTTGTGTACAGACTTTGTTTGAAATGTTGTCTGCTACAAATGTTCACCACTGTAGTCCAATGAGATTAGTGATGCCTACACTGGTTTATAGGAGTCATTAATAAATAGAGCTCCAATAGGGCTGCACTTCACCTCTCCGGGCATTCATATTTCGAAGTTGTCAATGTCTGTGATATGCTGTTCGACTGGAGAAGAGCTCAGTAAGGACTGAAGATTGAATATCACTTAAAGAACAGGGGAAAAAAAGAGGTTGAGGGAAAGTTTTGTCAAGTTTCTTTCATGCTGGTTTGTCAGATTTCTTGTAATTCCAGCTGCTTTGCGTTTGCTTGCTTTACTAATCCCGTAAATTGTAAGTGATTTCAGATCTACTCCTTTGTTTGACCCATCTCTAACTGCTCTCTCTCTCTCTCTTCCAGAGCCTAACATGCGTCTAAGGAATACGTCAGTGGATGGTCCAGAAGGCAGCCAGCTGTTTGAGGATACGAGCGGACCTGCGGCCGGATCACATACAGGATACAGGTGGGAGCCCCGCCCGTCAGGCTGAAGTTAGGCTGGATATTAAACCTTTTGAGTCAAGATTTGTCGAATGTTTATGTCCTATACATTACATCAAAAGAAATCGTTACTCTTTGGAGAAGAAAAGCAACACAACGTTCCGTATATCCTGTCTGTTCATTCAGCTGCGCAGTCTTTTGCATCCTGTCCTTACAACTGATATGATTATATGTTTGTGTTAGATTAACCGATAGATTTCCCAGGTTCTTTCGGCTGATGCGTTTTCTTGTGTCATGTTGGCAGCCACCAGCCGGCCGGGCCTCAAGCAGCAGGATTTCCCGCCCAGTCCATTCTGTCAGATCCCATGTCCAACCTGGCCATGGCATATGGCAGCTCACTGGCATCCCAGGGACGGGAAATGGTGGACAAGAATGTAAGAATGACAAATAAACATTTCTTTTGAAGGCCTAGTGACACGTATAGTCGAAGAGAGGCCACATTATACTAATAGACGACATACCCCATCAAATAAAGCATGTCTCTCTGCTTGTTTGTTTCAGCTGGACAGGTTCATCCCAATTTCTAAGCTGAAATACTACTTTGCCGTGGATACATTGTATGTGGGGAAGAAGCTGGGCCTTCTGGTTTTCCCGTACATGCACGAGGTGAGTCTGCTTACACCTGCCCAATGTACGTTATTCTGTCATGCCTGCCACTTTGAATAGGGAGAGGACTCCTGTGCACGTGGAAATATGTTGATTTCTCTCCGTGGGCCTCTGGGGTTTTCCATATATGGTCCAGGTTGAGACAAGATACCTGCTTTCTAGTTCTGCCTCAAGCTGTTGTAGTTCCAAATTTCCTGTAAACTAATCCACACCATACAGTATGTTTGGTTTTTTAGCCTCTTTTATACCCTCTGCCTGTGTCTTGAATATGTATACATAAACAAGATGTTTCAATAGATCTATGAGATTTTGATTTTAATGTGTGGAATCTGTTTTATGATGAAAGTCATACATTTGAAAAAAGGACTTCACAATACTTCATGCTTTCAGCCCAGAGTTTGAAGTTTTAAGTGTGTTTGTTTGTGTGTGTGTGTGTGTGTGTGTTGTAGAACTGGGAGGTGTGCTACCAGCAGGACACTCCTGTGGCTCCGCGCTTTGATGTGAACGCTCCCGATCTCTACATTCCTGCCATGGGCTTCATCACATACGTCCTGGTGGCTGGACTGGCCCTCGGCACACAGAACAAGTACACATACATCCTTGTTTTTCTCACCGTGAGGCAGATTTACAAAAGACATACTAATCTAAATCTTGATCATCATTTGATTGTTGATCTAAGCAGTGATCAGTAGCAGCTAGGTAGGAGATGTACTGTTTTTTAATTATTACAAGAAGCAATCAGGATGGATTCATTATGCTTGGAAAAACAAAAACGTCACTTCCTGATTGATCATTGATAAAGCCCTACCACCTCACACTGATGACGCACTACAACTAGAGTTCACAGTGTGTAAATGTAAACTGTGTCATTTTGTGCACCCTTCAGGTTTTCTCCGGAGCTGCTTGGAGTTCAGGCCAGCTCGGCGTTGGTGTGGCTCATCATGGAAGTCCTGGCGGTCCTGCTCTCTCTGTACCTCGTCACCGTTAACACCGACCTCACAACCATAGATCTGCTGGCCTTTTCTGGGTACAAATATGTTGGGTATGTACAGCATCTTCCTTTGTTTGTGTTTCCATTTTCATCACCAACCCTCACCCTCATCACTCGTGTGTCTTTATTATGCTCGTCGTTTATTATTTTCTAATGGCCAATTTTTCCTTTCAGCAATGCTAAGGACAAAACACTTTCTGTTTTCATGTAATGGATGTTATGACTAACCTGTGACTGTGTGTGTCTCTTTCTTTAGGATGATCATAGGGGTGGTAGCAGGCCTGCTGTTTGGGAGGCTAGCGTACTATCTCTCTCTTCTGTGGTGCTGCGTTGCCATCTTTGTCTTTATGGTGAGTAGCAGCAGCATCTATTAACTCGCAGGAGTTTTGTAATTATTTATCTTAATAGACAGATTTCCTGTAAACGCATAATCGATGATGTTTGGCCAACCAGGGAAACGGTATGTAAAGCCTTTGATGTAAATGTGTACGTGACGCTTGTACTCTTGTTTTTTGTGCCACACACTGATGGACATCAGCGACACTTTAGGCTGTGAGCCAGTATCATATTGCTGCTGTTTGCCAGCAAAACCTGCCAGACATTAGACATACGCCAGATGTCTCCTGCACAGCTGTATCATATTAGATGCCTCTGCACTGCAATTTCATGCCAGCAAATGAGTAAAGGCCTTTCCTCT